CAAAGCAGGGAGCTCCATCTTGAGGACTGACCAACAGTTTAAATTAAATCAACTGATTTGCAGCAGCATCATTAGATCCTAAACAGCTAACGGCACGAGTAAACATTGAGTCCCCCAGGCAGCTCACCCACAGAGCACCAAGACCTCTGAAATGCCCACATCCCTTCCAGCATTAACAACTGGACATTTTAGGTCAAAGATGCTACTGTCATCATGTGTTCAGTGTCATAGCAACCCAACCCTTATCACAGGACACATGGATAGCTCTAGTCCAGGGAACTGCAACAGGCTCTCCCCTACGTGCCTGGAGCCTGCTGGGAAAAACTGACCACCTCTACAGGAAACCACATTCCAGAGCCAGACCTGAGAGAACCTGCAAGCTCAAGTCAGGGTTGCCAGCCAGCGGAGTAGAGAGGACTGAAGGACTGTCTGCAAAGGTAACAAGAAAACAGATATTCTGACTATTGGAGGGATGACACCTATGGGACTAGAAATGAGAAACACCCTTTAGAACTAGCATCACTATGTTAGCTCATCTGCACCTGGGGAGAACCTTCCTTCATCGATGTAACTGTTCTCCTTCCCTGTCTCATAAGTGACACTGGCCTCCTCCTAATCTCCTACTTGAAGCATCATTTGGGTTTCTGCCTGAATCAGTGCTTCCCAAATAGCTATGCTTTTGATCTCAAATAAATGCTGCTGCCTCTCACTTTGGCCTTTTACTTTTAGGTTAATAAAATAAGGGCAGAGATGAGGGGGGTGTGAACTACCAAGACATATGTTCATGAGAGCTTAGGGCTTCTACTGGGTTGAATAGAGTCTCCCCAAAATTCATGTCCACTTGAAACTTCAGAATGTGACCTTATTTGGAAATGGGGTCTTTTCAGGTGTAATTAGTTAAGATGAGGTCACACCAGGTTAGAGTGGGCCCCAAATCCACTGACTGGTGTCCTCATGGGAAGGGCCTGGAAGAAAGCTATGTGATGCAGAGACAGGGACTGGAACGTGCAGCTGTGAGCCGAGGGCCAGCGGCGACGCTGCCACCAGCAGAGGCTGGGGACCAGCAGGCCTTCTCTCTAGGGCTGCGGAGGCACGGCTTCCAGACGGTCAGAGCATGTTTCTGCCGGGCTAAGCCACCCAGTGTGTGGTCACCAGGAAGTTAACTCAGGGCCTGAGTGTTCTCAGGGAATACACAGGAAGCTCTGGATATCTTAATTTTGAAAATGCTTCTACAGAAAAAAAAGGTATTGTTTATTAACACGTTAAGCACCCAGCCTGTTTTGTTTTCCAGATGGGAAGTATAGTGTCAGCCACCGAACACTGACAGGGCGTTTAATGTGTTAAAAACAAAATTCACCTGAGTAAATTTGAAGGTCTAATTAGCTTTCTTAAGTGATTACTGAATTGGGCAGCATCCCATGTAGCAGCTAGAAGGGAATTCTCAGGGGCCATTCAAGATGGAAGGTTTTTACAGGAAGCAAAGTGGGCAAGGCAACTATTAACAAAAGAAAATAAGTTCATTTTGGGCAGGAATGGGAAAGGTGTGTATCATGTAGATTGCCTCTTCTTTTTATGGGGGATGGAGCGGACTGAGGGACACATTACCTTCCTGGCGCTTGACCAGAAAATTCCAACGGGTTAATTAAGATTACATTTCTGGGAGAGGGTGAAATAACAATTATGTCAGGTATTAAATCTAGGTTTGGTATCATGGGCTTTTAGCATGAGTGATGCCATTTTGCATTGTGAGACTGTAGTTTTCACTTTAACAAGTTTTTTGGGGGGGCGGGGGGTAACACAATGTGCAAATATTTTGTAATATCTTAAACAGCAACACCATGCAAGCTCCGGAATGTGAACTGAAAACATTAGTTGATAAGACCCCTATCACTTTTCCTCCAAAGATAGGTGACCTTACCTGAAGCAATTTTTTTTTAAAACTTTTTGTCCCACTGAGTTTCCTAGAAAAACCTTTCGTTTCGTACAGGCCCGTGGAGCAGCCTCTCTTATTGTTTACTAGAGGCCCAGTGCATGGATCTGGGACCCCTTGAGAGATGTCAGACTGCTGGTTTCGGGCCGATTTCCACAGGCCAGGCTGAGGGACACCCGCCAGTGCAAGAATCCGTGCACTGGGCCTCTAGTATGCATATAAGTTCTTTGGTTAATCTCTTCCTGCCCTTCCCTCTCCCCTCCCCCCTGAGATTCATCAGTCTGTTCCATGTTTCCATGTCTGTGCATTGAGCATCTGTCCCCTGGTGGTCAGTGTGTGTCATAGCTACTGGTCGAATGGTCGCTTAGACTTTTATATATATAGACTAGAGGCCCAGTGCACGAAGTTCATGCACGGGTAGGGTCCCTAGCAGCTGCTGTTGAGGGTCTCCCTTTGCACCTGCCTTGGCCTGGTGCTGCCCACTCACCTGCTCCACCATCCCGCCAGTCCCGCTCTCATCGGAGCCCATTGGGGCCGGCAGCGCTTCCATTGCCAGTGCCGCCATGTTCCATGCTGCCCCCTGGTGGTCAGCACACATCTAACTCCTGGTCAGTCGAACTCCTGCCCTTAGGGACAATTTGCATATTAGCCTTTTATTACATAGGATTAGATGGGATACTGCCCAATTTATTAATCCTTAAAAAAAGCCAATTAGATCTTCAAATTCACTGGATTGAATTTTTTTAACAGCTGCTTTGGGAATGTTAATTGGCAGGATCTCTCTGAAGGACATCTAGCAAGAAACTGAAAAGCCTTAAAAATATGCATACCTCATGACCCAGCAATTTCCGCCCCTTCAATTTTACTTTAGAAGGTGGCACTTAAGTTGGTAATTACTGAGCACTGTTGAGTGCAGACTGGATTTCCAAAACTGGCCTGGTGGAAATGAATCACTGGTGAGTGAAATGCCTGCAGGCTTCTGTAGGTCCTGGAAGGAACTGGGGAAGTCTGGGAAATGCCACTGGCATTCCTCACCTCCGAGTGCACACAAGAATCACTTGCAGTGGTGTTTTTGCTTTTTGTTCTGGAATACCTGAGTCAACAGTCATCATGTCTGGGGCTGGGACCAGGCACTAAGACACCTCAGGGCTTTCAACATGCAACCAAGATCCAGGATCAGCATCCTAGGGCAGGCTAAGTAAAGAGTTGGAAAAAAAAAGTTGCAAAACAATTTTGTAAATGAGTATTTATTGGAAAACTTCTCTGAAATCTTGTTAAAATGACCATGTACAAAAGCTCTCATGCAATCTGATTCCATTTCTGCAAAATGGAGTATAAGACTGGAAATTAACTTTGGTTGAGTAACAGCTTGTTATGCCCAGATTTCAAGACCCCCAACAGAACCACCAGGGAGCACTGAGTCCGATGCAAAAGCATAGAGCCTTTATTCAAGCTGAGCTTGGTCCCTCTGCCTCCACCGACGCTGCGGCAGGATGCGAGAGAGCCCCAAGTCTCGAAAGAACAAAGATTTTATAGGGCTTGGGGTCGGGGGGTGAGGGCTCACTCAGACCACTGATTTGGCCGATTCCGGTTGGTTGAGTGAGGGCCGGGGGCTAGTGACGCAAGGGTAGGGTGCACCTAGGGTCTGGTTACACAAAGACAGGGGGGGTGGTCAGCATACTTTTGGCCTTGGGCTTGTTTCCCTTGCACTCCTATTGGCTGAAATAAGGGCAGGCTGAGTAACTGATACATTCTGTGGCTTTTTCTTGGAAGAGGGGTTAGGGACCCAGCTATCAGTCCCGTTCTGTCCTTTCAAGCTCATATGCCAAAGGGGCCACAAACTAAACCTGACAAGCTGGGGGGACCTGCATGGCGGCCTTACAAACTCAGAGACTTGAAGTAACCACACAGGATGGTGTGAAATTAAAACTTTTTAAAAAATATGTATTTCTTTATTGATTTGAGAGAGGAAAGGAGAGGGAGAGCTAGAAACATCAATGAGAGAGAATCATTGATAGGCTGCCTCCTGCACACCCCCCACTGGGGAAGGAGCCTGCAACCTGGGCATGTGCCCTTGGCCGGAATCGAACCTGGGACCCTTCAGTCCGCAGGCCAACGTTCTATCCACTGAGCCAAACAGGCTAGGGCGAAATTAAAACTTTTAAGCTATTTTCCCCTAACAAAGGTCCATCTTCCCCTGAACGGAGCCCGTTGTTTATGCATCTAGGAGACCAGACCTGATAACACGCCTTTGCAATAACTAAGTAACTTCCCTTTTCCCACACCCCTTAAATCATAGGCACCCCCAACAGACCACAAACCCTCTCTGTCATCATTAATTGCGGACTGTTAACTACCCTGCACCTGCCAAGTGAAAGAAGCAGGTGTCGATCACTCTGCTGCTCACCCAGGCCCAGAGCCCCCCTGGCTTTCTCCCGCTTCCCTAGTCTATCAGCAATGGGTTTTATGTAGCCAATCTTACGTCTTCTAATTGTAATGTATAAAGTAAGGTTCAAAAGTGCCATTTTTCGGAGCGTGTTCTCAATCCGTTGAGGTTTTGCTTCCCAGCAATTGTCAGTTTGGCTGAAATAAACTCATAAAAATTCTCTAGGGTCCCCGACCGCGTGGCTCAGTGGTTGGGCGCTTCACGGGCACTGAGGTCGTGGGCTCGGTCCCCGGTGGGAGGCGTGCAGAAGGCAGCCTACCCGTGATCCTCTCTCTAAAATCAATAAAAACATTAAAAAGGTTTGAACGTTTCTTTCCTTGACAACACTTCCTGCGACTCTGCGGGGCGGGAGCTGCCCCGGGAGCTCGCTCAGCGGCTGCCAGGCAGGAGGTGCTCTGGGGGAAGTGACGCCAGGCCCCGACCCACTTCCGGTCCCGCCTACGCCACTTCCGGGTCCTCCCGTCCAGCTCCTCCCCCTCCTCCTCTACGAGGTGGCGGTTTGGCTTCCCGGCTCGGTGTGCGACGCTGTCGTGAGGTGGCGCGCTTTACGGCCGGGGGCGGTGCCAGCGCCGAGCCACTCCTCGGGGAGCGGTGCGGGCGGGAGCGGTGCGGCGGGCGAGGTGGATGCGTGGCGGCGGGGCGGGCGCGGCGTCTGGCCGGCTTTCCACCGCCGCGGAACAAAGCGGGCCTCGGGAGGCGGCGGCGGCACCCAGGGGCGGCCCGGGGGGCTCCGGCGGCGGCAGAGGCGCGGCGAGCGGGCCCGGGCCGGGCGGCGGCGGCCCTGCGGGCAGGATGAGCCTGAGCCCCAAGGAGCTGTCGAGCCTGCTGAGCATCATCTCGGAGGAGGCGGGCGGCGGCAGCACGTTCGAGGGCCTGTCCACCGCCTTCCACCACTACTTCAGCAAGGCCGACCACTTCCGCCTGGGCTCCGTGCTGGTGCTGCTGCTGCAGCAGCCCGACCTGCTGCCCAGCGCGGCGCAGCGGCTCACGGCGCTCTACCTGCTCTGGGAGATGTACCGCACCGAGCCGCTCGCCGCCAACCCCTTTCGCCGCCAGCTTCGCGCACCTGCTCAACCCCGCGCCGCCCGCCCGCGGCGGCCAGGAGCCCGACCGGGCCCTCCGCTCTCAGGTGCGCGGCCGCCGCCGGGGGGCGGGAAGGTGCTGCGGGGTCGGGTCCTTGGCCGCGGAGGCTGCTCCTCTTCGGCGCCGGGCGCGCTTAG